GTCATACTGGATACCCCCCTCCTCTGGTTCACAGATGCCCAAGTAAATGGCTGTTAAGGCCCTTTGCCGGAAGGACTGGTGGAATTATTACAATATATACTTGCTGTAGGGTCCTTCCTCCTGGGGACTCATCCACATTTTCATTCAATGGATTTCAGGTCTGAAAACAATTTCAGATGTAGGAACTGGGCAAGGGATCATGACATTTTTAAAGTGTCTTTAAAACATTTCATATTTAACTGTGACTTAAAGACCTATAATAAAATTTATCATCTTATCCATTTTTAAGTGTGCAACTCAGTAGTGTTAAGCATATCCACAATGTTGGGCACCCAGCTCTAGAACTTTCTCATCTTGCAATACAGAAACTCTGTACCCATGAAACAACTCCCCATTTCCCTCTGCCCCCCAGCCCCTGGAAACCACCATTCTACTTTCTGTTTCTATGAATCTGACTACTTTAGATACCTCATGTAAGTGGAATCATACAGTATTTGTTTTTTGTGTGTGTGTCTGGCTTAGTTCACTTAGCAAAATATCCTCAAGGTTCTTGCGTTGGGCTCCACACTGGGTATGGAGCCTACTTAAAAAATAAAATAAAATAAAATAAAATGTCCTCAAGGTTCATTCGCGTTGTAGTATATGACAGACTTCCTTCCTTTTAAAGGCTGAATACTATTTCATTATATGTATATAGCACATTTTGTTTATCCATTCATCCTTTGATGGACACTTGAACTACTTCCATCTCTGGCCCATTGTGAATAATGCTGTTACAGACGTGGGTGAGCAGCTATCTCTTCAAGATCTTGCTTTCGATTCTTTTGGGTATATACTGGGAGTGGGATTGCTGGATCATGTGGTAATTCTGTTTTTATTTTTTGGAGGAACCACCATATTGTTTTCCATAGTGGATGCACCATTTTACATTGTTACCAACAGTGCTCAGGGGTTTCCGTTTCTCCAGTTTCTTCTGGCTGGAGACTGTTCCATTCTCTTTTTTATTTCTCCCTCAACTTTTGCTTGCAAACTGATTCCATATTGGTATTGTTAGCATTCTGCTTGGAAATCTCCTTAGCCACCTCCAACAAGTTTATTACGTTCATTTTCTATTTTCCAAGTACCACAGGTGACGGTTTCATAAATTATTCCGCTGCTATATAGCAAAGATGACCCTTTCCTCTGAGCGTCCAAGAGCAATTTCCTCCCTGCTCATCCAGCTGTACTAATAGTTTTCTTGCTGCCTGCCCTTTTTGCCTCTGTCTGCTCCCTGGGCCCCGTGCTAATGCCATGTGTTTTAGGTTTTAATTATGGACGTCTTCCACGTACCGATTTCTGTTTCAGTATCTACTGCTGAATTGCAAATCACCCCCAAACTTAGTGGCTTAAGACAACAACGATTTATTCATTTCTCACAATTCTGTGGTTTGATCGGACAGTTGGTCTTCGGGTCTTGCATGGTGTGCTGTGTTTAGCCATGTCTGTGTGGAGGCTTGGATGTTGGGATGATTCTATGCGGTTTCCAGACCTCTTCCCCACGTGGTCTCACATCTTCAAGAATGCTCGTCCAAGCTTCTTATATGCAACTGAATTTTAAGAAGCCCAGGCTTCTTACATGCAGTGAGGGAACTGCAAGACCTTTTAGGGTCTAAACTCTGGAACCTACACAATGGCACATTCTATTGGTCAAAGCAAGTTACAAGGCAAACCCAGACGCAAATGGCAGTTGGAGAAAGAGCAACGCCTCTCGAGCAGAGGACCAGTAAACTCACATTGCAAAAGAGCATGGAAGGAGGCTGGTTCAGCAAGGACCATTATTTAAGGATTTTCCACATTTATTTAAGTTTAAGCCGCCTGTTAGGCACTGAAGTAGAGACGTCAAAAGGGCACGTGGCTGTGCGTGCCTTGATCTCTGAGGCGGGCTGGGGCCTGGAAAGTGAATTTGGGAGTCATCCACATATAGACATGATGCTTTTGTGAATTGTCCTGCCCACCCGGTTCCTGGTTGCTGTGTAAGTTTGGACTGTGGATGGGGCAGGGTGTGAGCGGAGTGCAGCCCACTGCAGCCAGAGCTGGGGGGAGGCTGGCGGGGAGAGAAACCTTCTGTTCCTGCCGGGGCTCCAAGTCCCCCTCCCCACTCGGGCAGAGAGCACTTCGCTAGGCTTCTCTTTCCCTTCCCACCTCAATAGAGCCCCCAGGGCTAGGGATGAGGTTAGGACAGCTTGCCTGCACGCAGAGGACGGAGGACGGGGAAGCATTCTACTGCCTTACTTTGCCACCTACAGAAAGGAACCCAGGAAACTGAGGACCACATTGCCCTGCTCCATCTTCTTTCTGTTGTGTTGCATTCCTGCCCTGTGGGAAAGCTGCACGAGCAACCGATTCTACCACTCCTGGCTGTTCTCAGCCTTCATCTAGAAGACAGTAATTGGGCGTCGTCACAATACTTTGTTAACCCAAACCTGATCACCTTTATTTTACACTTTTCTGTGTTTCTCGGGAAGAAGGGGCTCTTCGCTCTCATTGTTTTACTATCTGGAAGAAGGGAAAGCAAGAGTGGGGCTGAATCTAGCATTTCTGAAAGAAGGAGGTGATTTCAGAGTTATTCCAAACCAGCTGGTAAGACAGGGGAGACCACCCCAACTTGTCCAAAGCAGGAAGCAAAGAGGAAGAGGGATTAAGAGTTGGAGACTGGGGTGCAGATCAAGATTCTAGTGCTACCCACTCTTTTAGGAGTTACTCTTCTCCATATTGTCCCTTAAGAAAGAGAAAACTGCCTTATGCGCCTCGTTCCCAGCACTGCACCAACCTCTACCCTCCTGATAACTTAGGAGGAGCTGGGAATCTGTATTCTTTCCAACCTTAATGCGGTTTTCCGCACATTTGTTAACTCTCCAAGATCCTATTTTTAAACTGGTTCTGCTAATTTTTGCATTCTCCCCCTGCCTGCTTCCAGGGCGGGGTTGGGCCGGGGCTGGGCTGGGGCTGGGGTGAGGCATGTACAAGAGTTTCTGGCTCCATCTCTCATTTCCTGAGCTGAGCTGGGTTGTACTAATTGACCTCAAGGGTCTCAGCTGTGCTAAGCTGGGTGTTTGTTAGATCTCGTTAGGCTTGTGATTAGTGCAGAAAATCTAGGTCAGAGGCAACTGGTTGGAGTGATGGTCTCAGGGGGTGTGAATAAAGGCGGGGAATAGCAAACAGGTTCCTGGTTCTGTGGGTGGGGTGAGCCAGGGACAGGGACCGGTGAGACTGGTGTCATACACACAGACGGAGAGACACAGGGTCACGTGCAGAAAGGCGCTCAAACTCTTGGGGCGCGAGTGTGCTGGCGTGTGTGTGTGTGTGTGTGTGTGTTGTATTTGCTCCCGCGTTTACTCGGGTTTCTTTCCAACCTCTCCTTATATGGTGTGGCTCCAGAGCAGGCTGGGGATTGGCTGCTGTGCTTGGGAGACTGGGAGCTTGGAAGAAAGGAGGAAGAGAACTGTACCGAGCAGGGGCTGGGAGTGAGAAGGGGAGGGGGCTGGAGCCGAGCTTCGAGCTTCGAGGGCCGTGGAATGGGGCTGGGCCCCCCGCTTGCCTGTGAGGTGTAGAAATGGGAGAGATTTGGGGGCATGGTTTTGGTAGAATATACCGGTGACAGAGGGGCTGGGAGCTAGGGTCAGAGTTGCAGGCTCAGCAGGGCATGCTCTCCGAAGGCTGGAGCAGGACTTAGAGAAACTTGTGGGGTTCTCCGCTTTTCTTCTCACCCTAAACAGCCTACAGCTCTGCGAAATAGCATGCGCAGGAACCCATCAGCTCTTCAGGTCAACACCGCAGACATTTTCCTCCTGCCCCCCAGACCGCTACTTCACAAGCGAGTGCGGGGGAACAGGCAAAGTTGAGGAAAAGGTCACTGAAATATGCAATGGCATTTAGTTCTTCACCCGTCTCCACTCCTTACCCCGTTTCAACTCTGCGTCCTGGATTCCCCCATCTCCCCAGCCTAGGGCCTCCCAAAAGTCTCCCTTTTGGAGTTCCTTTGTGTAAGAAAGGAATATAGCACAACTGATGGGAGAGGGAAGGCGAGGAAGAAAAAACACACATCCTGAAGCAGGTCCACTGGCAACTGTGTAATAAGCGAGTGGGCTCACAGCCCCCTGCCCAATCTACCCATTCACCCCAGAACCCAGCAACTGGGAGGGAGTGGAGGCAATATGGCAGGTGAAGAAATTGGGCTGATGGAATGCGGGGAGAGAGGTCTGGGCGAGAGGAAGCTGGGCTCCCGGTGCTCTTGTCCTCCCGTCCGCCCACCTTCAGGGTCCCAGGGGCAAGGCTGGCTTGGTGCTGACCCCCGCGGCTCCGGAGGACAGGCGATCTGGCGCCCCCCGCGCCCCCCATCTCCAGCCGTAGCCCCGTCCCTGGCGCTGCGTGTCCTTGAAGAAAGGGCGCGGGCACTGCGCGGCGCGTGCGGGCTCAGTGCGCTCTCGCACTACAACTAAGTGGCCGCGATCAACCGCGGGCCGGAGGCCTCCTAGCCCGCGCTGTCCCCAGCCCAGCGCGTCGTTCTCCTGGTCACAGCCGCCGCAGGCGTTTGCTGAGTGTCCGCGGCAGGCATTTCCCTCGGGCCCCTTCGCCCGCCCGCCCAACATGAACTCTCCGTGCTGCGGATGAGAAAACGGACAGTCGGAAAGCTCGTGCCTTGGGGCCTCATAAGGAAAATGTCGGAATCTGAACCCAGATCTGTCTGGTTCCAAAGCTGAGCTCGTTTCGCTCCCCTGTGGCCTGGGCCTTAGTTCCGCGCCCAGAGGCCCCCCATCTTTCTTTTCTGCTCCCCTCACCTGTCCTTCTCCTTCCAGTGCCTCCCTGTGTCCTCTAGCCCCCCTGGCAGCCACAGGGAATTGGCACCTTGGGACAGACATGTTCTTCCGGCTTTTGTCTTTTTCTTCATTATGTAGGAGCAACCAGGAAGAAAAAGAAGAGGGAAAGTGCCGGTAAAATAAAATTAATACGAAGGTAGGGACTTCTACAAGGAAATATTTTAACCTTGATTTTCATGATTGGACAACAGGTGGGTCTACTGAGCATGTGAGTTTAGGAGAGCGAGGCCTGTCGGGAGGATGGCAAGTCTGCGGACCCAGATTTCTTCACCTGCTGCCTCAGGAGACCCTGGGCAGGACATTCAGGTGGCACTCTGGTGTCGTCTCCCTCACTCAAGTAGGATACATATTCGTCCGGGAAGAGACTTGTTTAGAGAACTACAGGCTAGATCTGGGGAAAACCTGCAGGATGCATGGTGCAAGAACCTCTCTTCCATGGAGACATCTCCCATCGTGCTTACTTGGGATGTGCAAGTAACATCAGAGCAGAAGATTGGGAACGGAAGGGTCTGCGCTCCCCCCAAGGGATTTTCCTTTTCTCCCTCCTACCGCATCTTCCTGAATGTCACATTGGGGCAGCCTCACCACCAGCACCAACAGGCCTCTGTCCCCACGTTCTCCCCTCTCACCCCCAAGAAGAGCGCTAGGTCTTGATTCTTGGAAGCAAGAGATCTAGGGAAGAGGGTCAAGGGGCTAGCTAGGGGTGCATAAACTTCCAAGTGGCTTCTAACCCCTTTAGTTGATTCGTGAGGCTCTCTGTCCCCTTCCTGTCAAAACCCACTCAGCTCTTGCCTTCACAACCCTTCTCTGGCCCCTGTCACTGTTGCTAATCTGATTTTAGGAACTTCAGAGGGAAGAAGCAAACAAAACAGAATGAGTGTGTGAGATCTACCGTTGACAAGAATGCAAGGGAGCCTGGCCAGGAGGGCGGTGGCGTGAGCACAGAGATGTTTTGCTGAAGTTGGGGCCTGATGAGTGTTGGGAGAGAGGTTTGAGGAAGGAGAGGGAGAGGCTACAGGAAACCTAGCTTGGCCAAAAGAGGAACCTGGCCACACGTTTGGTTTTCCCCTCAATCCTGCCCAGCTTGCATTGCAAATCAGTTTCGTTCTTAGTGCGGTTCTTCTGTGGGGTCAGCCGCCCCTAGTTCCCCTGCCCTGGGGCCCCCCTCCCCCCCACCACCGAAGGACCACACCATTCCAACTGTCCAGCACTGGATCTTCGCGTCGGTGTTGGGAAAGGTAGGGAAATGAAGGGAAGACACACGGCGAACAAGATAGCCGGGCAGCTCAGTCTCATTAAAGGGTATGAGCAAGAAGCTGGTGTGTCTGGTGGGACCCCACAAATCCTACTCAGGGCAGGGACAGATGTCACTTCTGTGTGCGCAGTTGGCAGTGGCTTCCCTATCCCCAGGGCTAGAGCTGGACAGCTGAAATTTCACCCTCAGATTGGAAACCTGGAATGGGATGGAAGCGAAAAAGCCTCCCCCGCGAACTTGGCTTATGCATGTCCTTGGGAGCAGCAGAACGTTCCCTGCCGTGTCTGAGGGGTGGTGTGTGTAAATGGCCAGACTATGCCTTTATCCCCCCCTCTCTTCGTCTAGGTGAGAGCTTCTTAATACCGCTGTCGGGGTCACCTCCTCAAATCTGAGGCAACTGAGGTGCCAGAGAAACAGCCACGGATAAGGAAGGAAACGGGGGTGGGGGGAAGGTTGGGCAGCAGCAAGAGCAACGAGTTTGTGGGGTTTTTTTTCCTTTTTTTGACTGAGGTAAATAAAAAAGCTTTGTCCTGCAACACTTGGAGATAAGAGTCCGTGTACCCCACCCCCCAATTCCAGCCGCTGTCCCCCTCGTTCACATCAGGCTCTTCCGGTACTGACTGTGCTGAGTGGCTGCTCTGAGGTGGGAGTCGGGGCTCTGCAGGTCCATCTGTCTATACAGGTCCCTCAGCTCCCTGACTTCCTGCAGCACCCTCTTTGCTTGGCTCCAATTCGACGACGCCTCTCCCAGCAGCCGCTCTGTCTCCAGCAGCCGCTGCTCTGACTCAGAGTCAGGAGGAGACCCCGGGGGGTCCTTGGCCTTTCGCTTCCCATCTCCCAGTCCCTGAACCTCGGTCAGCAGCTCCTGAGTCTTCTCCAGTTTCCTGGCGACCAGGTCCTGGATCCGGGACAGCTGCCCCGGGTGGGGTGGAACGAGGCCTGGGGGGTCCCCGGCCCGCAGCTGGAGGGTGCAGGCCGGGGCAGCGTCCCGCTGAGACAGGATCTCCTCCAAGGAGGCACAGCGGCCTTTCTCTGCGGGGCTCAGCTTCTTGGGGGCCTGGGGCGTGTAGGTGGCCCCCTTGTCTGGCTTTTCCCAAGCCCGGGGGAGGCCGCTGGCTCGGTCTGAGGAGGGCTGGATGCGGTCTGAGTCTGCTCTCCGCCGGCTGCCGGCCAGGTGGGCCACAGACTTGTCCAGGTCCACGCGAAAGTTCTCGGCGCAAGAGGCCGGTTCCTCCGGGGAAGGGTCTTCCTCCTGGATCAGGTCCAAAGTCAGCATCCCATCCGAGGTAGAGGTGGAAGCCTAGGGAAGGAGAGGGTGGGGGTGAAGGGGGGAACTGCCATCAGTAGGTGGTTCAGGAGTGACTGTCTGTCGGAAAGACAGAGGCAAACTGGCCATTTCCCTCCTCCATCCTGACTGAGCCCTTTGACTTTCTTACTGTTTCTTATTCCTTTGATAGTGATTGGAACTTTTCTCTTACTGTTCTGTGATTTAAAGTAACTTCTCCTGCTCGTGTCCCATACTCCCCATTTTACTATAAACTTCCTGCAGAGTGCCTTTTTTTCTCCGTCTCGGGGACTCTAAGCATCAAATCGGGTTTGACACCCACAGGATGTTCCGCATGGCACAGCTGCTGTCCTTTTCCATCTGTGTCCTCTGAACCCTATGCCCCAACCGCCTCTGCCCTTTAGAGCTCAGGACCCCGCGCCTTAAAGTAAAACTTGTTCTAGTTCCAGAACACTACAAGAATACAAAACAATACAGGTGCTATTCGGCACCTCCTGTATATCGATATATATGTTGTTTCAGTCATTCATTCCTCACAGCAGCCCTTCAAGGTAGGCATGGCGCCTGCCCCCTTTCCTGCTGAAGACCAGCGGCCTCAGGGAGGGAGTCGAGAGAGAGTAAACTGCAAAGCTAGGTTACAACCTGGTTCTGTCTGACTCCAAAGCCTGTATTCTTTCTACTATACCTGACTGCCTCTCTCTCTCGAGACCGAGAGCTCGGACAGTGAGAGGAACCAGCACTCCGTGTGTTGCGGGGGCTCACGGTGATCCTTCCTCCTGGAAGTGACTGCAGGGCCTGATGCCACCGCTGTGCGGTTCATTTCTACTCCGTGGGACAGCACTCACCTCTTCTATGTTCGCTTTCCTTGTGGGTGGATCTCATTTTCCACCAAGAATGATACATTTATTGAGGGCAAGGACTTCTGAACTCATAGTAGGTGCTAAGTAAGTATTTCTGATTTGGAGGAATCAGGCAGGGGGACGGGGTGCAGGCACCTCCTGAGCCTTTGACCTTGGTACCACAAATGCCTCTGGTGGGCTGAATACTCTTGTCTGAGACGGGCCCACGTGGAGTTGGCCCTTCAGCAAGTTTTACTTTCTTACAATCTTACGTACCACGGCCATCAGGTGTCCCCGAGTTGGGGGGCGGCGGGAGTGTTGGATTTTTGCCCTGTCTCGAGTGGGGTGTGCGAGATAGCTGTCCTCCTCAACGGTGACCTGAAGAGATGCACTGTGAGTCATGGGCGCTCTTCAGAGACTGAACCAGCCCAGCATCCCCTGTGGCCTGAACATGCCTGGACTGGGAGATAAACCCACCCCGTTGACTGGTTCTGAGAAAATCCAAGGGCAAGGCCTTTACTGCACGTGCGGGGGCTACAAGGCTGGCCCCAGGCACCACAAAGAATGCAAAGAGGAGTTGGTGGAAAGACTCAGAAGGTGGGACAGTGGGGTTTTCAAAGGGAGCTAAAGAAGTACAGCTCGTGGGTGGTAGCAAGTTAAGTGGGGTGCACCCCCAAACCTCCCCCTTTACATGAGTCATGGGTACTGCCTCTGCCCTGGTGCTCCTCCCCTCCACCTGAGCCCCCCTGACCTCATCCAAGATGCGGTTCTTGGCTCGGGTGATAGCAGAGTTGAGGGCATTGATCCATGATTCCTTCTCTTCTGGACTCACGGCCAGGAAGATCAGGTTGGGAGCCTGTGAGGGGAAGATTCTTGGTTCAGCCAGCGTTTTAGGGTTGGTGCCTCACTAGGAAGGGTGAAGAAATAAGGAATTATCATCTCATTCTCTTAGACCCAGCTCCTAGAAGGAGAGAGATTCTGCTTCCAGAGTCATCCACAACCTAAGGAAACCAGCCTCTAGTCCTAGAAGATGCCACAGCTTAGAGGTTGTTTGAGAAATGACCAAGGAAGAGCTAGGAAGGGTGATGGATATTACTACGTCATTGGAGATAATTACAGGAGGTTTGATAGATAATAAAGGACAGGTACTAAAATAAAGATCTTTAATGTCTGAGTAAACAGAAAGTGACAGGAACTTCCCTGAGTCCCCTCAGACAAGAGAAATTAGATTCAGAAATTCACCTATCAGGGTACAGGGAAAAGTGATTTTCTTCCAAGACTGTATGATATATGTGTGCCTGTGTGTGTGAGAGAGAGACAGAGAGAAAGAGAGAGAGAGCTGATCTCTGTGATTGGATAGTTTAAAGGCTGGCTCGCCTGGAGGGGAGGCAATGGCCACAATATTCTCAGGTTAAATAACAGAAGCTGGCAGGAGGGCAAGTGCGGGGCCTCTGGGCCCAGAGTTTGGGGAGAACCTGAAGGGCAAAGGTGTCCTCTGCCCCCGACATGCAAGCGGCCTCGGTTCCAGGGGCCCAGGAGGCAGGAGAGACATACCGTGTTGCCGGGCTGTTTGGAGTGGGCAAGAGTAAACTTGCTATGATTTTTCTTGCTCCTGCTCTTGGATTTCCGGAGCTCTTCACACTTTTCATAGTCACTCAGGTCAAACACCTCTTGAATATTTTTCTCATCTTTTACCTAGGGGAGGGTTAGAGGTGAGGTGCTGAGGAGAAGATGACTTCATGCCTTCCCCCAGACTGTTAATTTAGGCCGGTTCTGGGAAGCAGGATGAGCCTAAGGAGAGGGGAGGGAGGACAGGGTAGGAGAGCTGTCTGACCCAAGGCCCACACAGGCCTGAGCATGGGCATGGTCCTGGGGCACCCCTCAAGCCCCGACTCCTCAGGTGGGTTTCCATGTAAGCCCCTTATCCCCTTATCCACACTCTCTTCGGCTCAGCTCCTGTTTCCGGAGCCCCAGGATGTCTCTCTTCACCATGACCCCCGTTATGTCCTTCAAAAGACACGGCTTATGTGGCGGCTAATAGGTTAATCTTATCATCCCGAAGAAAGACAGACCTGGGTGGCTGTTGATCATCCAGAGGGAGGAGATAAAAGCGGAGTCAGCATCAGGGATGTCTCCAGGCAAATGCTACCTCTGGTCTCTCCCATCTTATTAAATGTTTACACTGTCGCTTTATTTTATTTTTTTAAAAAAGATTTTATTTATTTGTCAGAGAGAGAGAACACAAGCAGGGGGAGTGGCAGAGGGAGAGGGAGAGGCAGGCATTCGGGGCTCGATCCCAGGACCCTGGGATCATGACCTGAGCCGAAGACAGACGCTTAACTGACTCTCTACACTGTCGCTTTTTTTTTTTTTTAAAGGTTTTATTATTTTTTTTAAGTAATCTCTACACCCAACATGGGGCTCAAACTCAGAACCCCAAGATCCAGAGTCACAGGCTCCACTGACTGAGCCAGCCAGGCTTTCTTACCTGACTCCCTCCTCAAATATATATTATTCTAAAGAGAGTCATCGGCCTCCTTCATTTCGGGAGCTCCAGCACCATAGAAACAGCAGTGCCCTGTGCTGAGTTTGCTCAGACAAGCTGAAAAATACACCTATAGTTCCTGCCCTACTCCTGCCCTCCGAGCTCCTGAGACCACCCGGCCTGGCCCTTGCAGGCTTCGAGAGCCATTTAAGTCATCCACCTCTCCCTAGACAAAGATGCACTTACACTGTCCCTGGGAGGACATTTCAGACTTGTATTCTGCTACTTCTCTCCATGGTTCCAGTTTTGAGAGCTGGTTCTCCTTTGTGTCTAAACTGAGCCCTTCCTGCTCGTGCTGTCTCTCTTGCACCCTACCCTTTGCAGCGTTAGCCAGCATTTGGCCCTTCACCCTCCTGCCAAACGTCTCATCAGACCACAGTTCTCTCTCCATCCTCTGACCCCAACCAGCCTTTGTGGAGGGCCACAAAACAAATTCCAGTAATACTTCTGCCGAGGTCTCGTGGAAACCTCTCCGTTGTTTCTCCTCTCCACTAAGGTGTTCCCCACAGGCCTGGGACTCTGAAGCTGTGGCTCATGGACTGTTCTGGCTTACAAGAGGAGAGGGACTTAGTCGCCGGCCCAGACGAGCAGCCTGTGATTAGAAAGCCCTTTCGCCCTCTACCATTTGAGCCTGGGCTCAGAAGACCCTGGGAACGAGAGATGAAGAGCGCCAGTGCCTGTCTTGTCAAAACTAAACAAACAGATAAAAGTAGTCTCCTGTCTCCCTTGGAAGACACCCACCCTCCCTGACTGGAACTGTTTCTCAAGCGCGAACTAGGAACTGTGTGCTCGCAGGTGACTTCATCTATTCCCCTGGTTCTCAGCAGCCTTGAGGTGGGGGAGTGAGTCTCTCTTCCACTGCCCAGCCCATCTCTGGTCTTGCATCTGGCTGTCCTTCGGACTCGCCGCTGGGGCCAGGGGGCTGACACAGAGGCGGAGGGCTCATCACACAGCCTCGCCGGGGTCAATGGCTGCTCATACATCTGCCTGTTTGTGTTGGCCCGGCGTGCCTCCCCCACGGCTTTCCCCTTCCAGGGCTCCCCGGCTTGGGGCTGGTAAGTGACCAGAGGCCTGGGAGGCTTGTGGATGGGAGCGGAAAAGGTGTTGGCAAGGGGTGTCTGAGAACAATTCCCGGAAATGTGGGGCAGGGAGGGAGGATGACGCATCAGCCCTCCTGTCCTTCTTCCTCAGGCTTGAGACTATCAGCAGCCGCCAGGACTCTTAGAGAGGAAAGTGCTGGGTGTGTGTATGGAGCCAGGGGAGGAGAGTTACTTGTTCTGTTTTCCTTTCAGGAAGGGAAGGGAAGGGAGAAGGGAAGGGAAGGGAGGGGGGTATGCTGCCTCAGACACGCTGACAAGGAGCTCCAGGAAGGAGACAGTGACAGAGGTTAGGCCTCGAGAGGGCAGTGGTAGGAGAAAGGGCAAGACAAATGGCGGGACGAGTAGATTCCAGTCCCACGGAAGATGGACAGCTCCGAGACCCTTGTCCCAAAGTCTCATTTATAACTACCCATCTTCCAAAGCTAGCCCTTCCTTTCCCCTGGGCCCACAGAAAGGGATTTTCCCTTACCAAAAAAGATGCCCTGAACCCAATTTCCTCTACCAGGAGATCTCCTAAGATCTAGTTTCTGTTCCTATACATCAACCCCGTGATCATAGGGTGCCCTTTGACTGAGAATGAGGAAAATGATTAATAACAACAAATACAGAAGGATTGCTTTGATGGAGGTGGTGATGGGAGACCCTGCCTTTATGAGGAGAGGTAACAAAAAAAGACTTGAAAATTCGAGGGGAGAGGGTTAGGGATATTCTTGCGTTAACACATAAATTACAAACATTATACTTTGCATTTAAAAAAAAATCTTGAATCTATTAGCTCTGGAGCTTGTGGGAAGTGGACAGAATAGAGCCCAGAGTCCTCTGTCAGCTTCACCCTTAGCCCAGGCCTGCCGTGGCATGGAAACGAGCTCCAAAGAAGAGGAGTAACAGTAGGCTTGTCCCCACTTCTCCTGCGCCCTTCTCAGCAGGGGACAGCGGGCCCCATAACCAGTCAGATGCTCCTGACTCACAGGACACCAAGCCTTGGAGGCTGAGGTCATTCGAGCCTTCCCCCTGTCTCTGTACTCCTTCATCCACAAACAGGGAGCAAGCACGCTCTTTCACTCCCAGACTCTTTTCTTTGGACAAATACAAACAAGAAAAGATGTCTTGTTCCTTCTACCCTTCCACTGTTCTCATGGTTCCCCTTTGACGTGTGGGAAGTTCTCCCTGATTGCTCACCAGAGTTTCCTGCCATTATGAAGTTCGGGGAAGACAGGAGATACCCTTTGACACTTGCTTATTATTATTATTTTTTAAACTGGAAAGCCAGCAAACTGTGGAAAAACCTTCTGTAGGATTCGGGATTGGGTAGAGGTGGCCCTTAAGAAGAAATCCTGCTGTCAAAGTCTTCTCCCACTGCCCTCCATCATAAGTTCCCAGCCTGGTGTAAATAGTCAGGTCGAAACACCCAGAAGAGGGATGGCTCGGGCCCGGGCACAGCTCAGCTCTCCCCTACTTGCCTAGGTACACGTTCTGTTCAGATGAATACTTTCTCTAGGACTGCGCATGTGTCTGTTTCAATACCATAAAAGGATTTATTTACCTAAATATAGTCTACTGCAGAAAGCAGAAGAGGTTAGAACTCCGGGTGGACTTCCCAGTTAGGCTGGGGTGGGGGGGGGCACAGGATTGGGGGAGGAAGGGCCACCCAACCAGGGGAGCACAGGACAGTGTCCTAGCCTAATGCGGACACAGTCTCAGAAGTAGGGGACTGGAATGACTTCCAACTCAGGGAAAGCAATGTCAGTTTCTCAGGTGTTACTGATCTCAAGAAATAGAGATAAAAGGGAGAAGAGTGTGGGTTCGGTGATCTGGGCTCAGGTTCTGAATGCCGACTGTGGTTTTCATTTTAACTACCCAGGGACGGACAGGGGTTCCTGACTCGATTTGTCTCCTTTCTGATACAACTGGGGGAAGTTATGAAGAGGGTGGAGAATGAGTTCCTTGCTGCTTCTTTTTTTAATGGAGTGGGAAGCATACAGGTTAGGAACGTTGGCTTCAACAGAAATAACTGCCACTCATAGATACTCTGCCTGAGGTCATATGAGACTGACCCAGGGTTGTGTACGTGTTTTCTGTGACTGGGGCAGCTGCAGCTGTGATATGACCCGCATATGCCCCCCTGCTAGAGACAGGACCGAGGAGGTCCGCTGGCTGGGGGCAGGAGCACAGGAAGGGGTGAAGAAGAAGCTGAGCAGAGTTTTTCAGCAGCCGTGGCAAAGGAAAAAAAAAAAAAAAAGCCTACCTCCAGCTAGCTGCCAGGATAGGGTAGGGGGCAGCAGGGGACACTTAGAACTTTTGGGACACCTTGGGAGGGGGGGTCGTCGTCGTTGTCAGAAAGGTGTTTGCCAAGAAAAATCATTAAGTAAAATGCACGCTCGACTTGGAATTCTAACTCGGGTCTTCTGGAGAAAGGGTGACCTTTCTCTGCAGATCTGACAGGGGTAGAGACCCACCGAATTGCTGAACTTGCTTTTGGAACAAAATGGGGGGGGGGTGAGGGAAGCGGGAGGCGGAGGTAGGTGAGTCCCCTGTGGAGGGACAAAACGGGGAATGTGAGGACGCAGGGACAGCGGAGGCAGAGGGCACCTACCTCCTTCTCAGAGATGTACAGCTGGTCCCCCTTCAGCACCACATAACGGTTTTTCCAAATCTCCCTGAAAATCCCTTTCCCGCAGAATTTCCGGACCCAGCCGACCTTCTCAGGCGGTGCGGACGGCTGGTTGCCATCCTGAAGCCCCTGCCCCAGGGCGAGAGCAGAACCCTCCGGTTAGGTGGCTATCGCCCTCTCCTCGTCTCATTCCGGCCCTCACGACCCCCTCGGCTCCCCTCTCGCCGGCTTTCCCGTGACCGCCCCCACCCCCCCAGAGGCTGGACTCAGGGCGCCCCGCGTTCGCGCCCCACTCCTCGGAAGGTCTTCACTCCGGGCAACTCTCGCCCCCACCGCTGCCCTCCCGCTTCCCCCACATAAACAACTCCAAGTGCGAGAGGAAGGGGCCGGGGCCCGGCCTGGGCGGAGGGTGGCCTCCGGCGGGCCGCCAGGTCCCCCGCCCCCTCCCGCAGCCTCGGTCCCCGCCGCGCCGGGATTAACGGCATTTTATTTTATTTCTCATTGTCTCGGGGCCGCTGCAGCGCGCACGCCGGCGGCGGCCGGCCGCCCGGGGGAGGGGGCGCCGGGGGCGGGCGCGAAGTGAGCCCAGTCCAAGCCCCCGACCCAAGTCCGCACACAAAAGCCCCCCCGCGGCGGCGCCGGGGCCGCGGGGCCGGGGTCCTCGGAGCGGCCGGCGGCGGGCGGGCGCACTCACCCTCTTGGTGGAATTGTTCTTCTTCATCATTCCGGGCGGGCGCGGGCGCGGGCGCGGGCGCGGGGGAAGGGGCCGGCTGGCGGAGCTGCCCCCGGCGCCGCCGCCGCCGCTCCTCCCTCCCTCTCCCGGACTCTCCCCTTCTTTGTAGCTCCGGTTACACTAAAGGCCGGCCTCCCTCGCACTCGCACACACGCACGCCCGCTCCCCGCCCCTCGGCGCCCTCCATCCCGGCGCCCACGCGGCCCGGGCCCCCGCGCGCCCCCGCCGCCCGCTCCCCGGCCCGGCGCGCTGTGGGCGGCCCGGCCCGCGCCCCGCGGTTCCATCCGCCGGCCCGCTGACGTTGCGAGTTCAGAATAAAGGGCGAATCGCGGAGCCGGAGATGGTGCGCTCCCCCACCCCCCTCCTTTGTTTCCGACTCGCTGAGGGTGAGGAAGACAGACCCAAACCCAGCCCGAGAGCGGCCCCCGGGGCGGGGGACGGGGCGGGGGGTGGTCCGCGGGACCCGCGCTCGCACCTGCGGCGGGAGCCGGGGGTGGAGCCCGAGACACCGACCCGCCGGACCTGCCCAGACAGCCCGCGGAGGCGGCTGGAACGGATGATGGAGAGAGGTTTAGGAAGACCGAGATAACCTAGATCGAGATCGTCTCCCTCCCAACGCAAAAACAAAAACAAGAGCGGGAGGTGGGAGGGCGCCCGCCTTACCGAGAACCGGCATCTGGAATTCACACTCCCTGGGTGGTAGAGATAGTGGCCTGGGTAGGTCAGGTGCTGGGGAAAAGTTTTATGTTCCCGGAGGACGGGGGTATTGGTGTGTAGGGGCACGCGGGGGGAGTGGAGTTCATAGTAATCCACATTGCTGCCAGTTTACCAAGCCTCAGGCCTTCTTTGAGCCTCCTGAGTATGAAGTGGATATACGTATGAGCTCCACTGCACATAGAGAAAAGTGAGACTCAGGATGGCCGAGGGCTATGCAGACACACACGCTAAGTACTGGCAGGAGTAGATTTCTCTGTCTCCAAAGCCATTGTTCAGAGTACCATGTGGCTTTGGATACAAGCTCCAGGTGAGGCTTAAACTTCCTATTACCTGGGTATATCTTCCTGCTGCACTGACCTGGAAACATCCATCCGAGTCCAGTGGAGGGAAGGGCTCCATGCCCAGAGGATGCCCTGACTGGGGGAAACCTCTGCTGATGCCTCCCACACCAGATCTGCTTCAGAGCTTACAGAACAACATCTTCGTAACTTCATTTTTTTCCAATACAGATTTAAGGGGAGGTGGGGAGTCAGAAAACCCAGGTTTGGGTACTAGTTTCATCATCACGACTTTGTGGCCTTTGGTCAAGTCACTGAATTTCTTTCTTCTTCTTCTTTTTTAAATTTAAATTTTAGATTTTATTTATTTGAGAGAGAGAGATAGGAGCAGAGGGAGAGGGACAAGCAGACTCCACACTGAGCTCAGAGCCCCAGGCGGGGCTCCATCTTACAACCCTGAAATCGTGACCTGAGCAGAAACTCAGCTTAACCCACTGAGCCACTCAGGCGCCCCAAGTCACTGAATTTCGTTAGAACTCTGTTCCTCAACATATTAAACGGTGAGGGATGAGCTGCCAATTCCATCAACAAGGAAAGTTAGAGGGATATAGGAGATCACCTGTCGAAGTCCTATGAAAATCTGCAAGTATTGTCCTCTAGGGCTAATTATTGAACAATAATAAGCTAACAAACACATTGCCTGGCATATGGTAGACATGCAATAACCAAAAAATGAATACAAATCCCTGGCACACAAGAGCCGGGAAAAGGAAGAACTCTTTTTTTTCTGGAGATGTCTCAAGATAAAAGAAAGTATTGACCGGGGTGCCTGGGTGGCTCAGTCGTTAAGCGTCTGCCTTCGGCTCAGGTCATGATCCCGGGGTCCTGGGATCGAAACTCGCATCAGGCTCCCCGCTCAGTGGGAAGCCTGCTTCTCCCTCTCCCACTCCCGCTGCTTGTGTTCCCTCTCTCGCTGTGTCTCTCTCTGTCAAATAAATAAAATCTTAAAAAAAAAAAAAGAAAGTATTGACCAATTTTGTGGTTTCAGGAATGGGGTGGTCTTGGCTTTTTCTGGCATCTGTCAGATGAAGGAGGGGCTTTTCTCTTTTCCCAGCCGACAGGAGGTCCCCTGTCCTCCTAATCCAACAATATTCCTCTTAACCTCTTTCCATTTAGCACAGTAATTAATTCCTCTATTTTAGACTGATGCAGAAATTTATCGTTTCAAAATGCTCTCAGATATAATTTCTTTAAATCTTTAGTGCCACCTTGTGAGGTATATGGAATAAATATTATTCCCATTTGGAAAATGAGTAAACTGCATGGCAACTCAGTCGACTTGGCCATATTTACAAAGTTATTGGCTAAATGGATTAGAATCCAGGTGTTCTGACTCCAGTCTACTGTTTAGGCTTTGTGTACACACACACACACACACACACACCCTCCTCTCCCCTTCCACCATCTCTACTTCTCACTCTCTGTTTAAAAAGTGCTTTAAAAAGAATGAGAAAATCCAGGATGTCTTCATAAATAAGGAGGCAAAATGTCCCAGTGTACTGGTGAGGAAAAAGTAGCAGCCATGCTCTTTTGAGGGCTTGCTGGCCAGGCAGATGAGAGCAGTTTGGATTTACAGTTTAAATAGATTCTGGCTTATGGGAGACAAGAGATTCATTTGCCCCATCTTCTTCCTTTCTCCTCCGTTCAAAAGTCAACAAACACTTGAGTGTCTGCTGTATGCAAGGTAGTGGGGTCCTTGTGCTGGAGCTTTGTGGAACATCAGGCAGAGGGACTGCTAAAAAATCAAAACCCTCCAAAGTAATTTTCAGATTCCAGAACAGATGCATGTGGGCTGGAGAACCTTTCCTATTTGCTCCGTAAGATGTTACATAAATCTCTGGGTTTCTCTCTCACTAACCTGCACTGCTGCACTGTCTCGTCTTACTGTCCTGCCCCTACCTGCCCTCACTTTGCCTCCCGGGGTCCTGTTACTCACACCTCTTTCCCTGGGCCATACTCCTCCCGGGCCTATTCCTCAGCTCACTTCTTTCTCACCAGGTGAACATCATGGCACCTGAATCGGGATTTTGGATTTAGGACTATTTCCAAATACCAATTCCTAAGTGAGAAATCTGAGTGAGAATTTATGGGTGCTTTTACACATTGTCATAGCACTGTCTCCTCACTGGGCTTGACACCATCGTACACACAAACCACAAAGATGACTCAAGCCAATGTCTCTCTTTGCTGGAGAAGATACTGGGAGGACTTGTGATGGGGTTACCTCCCTACTAGCATCACCGTGGGTAAGACACACCTGCCAGCAACTTTACTCTTCAATGGACTGTTTTAAAAGCCACTCCAAGCAAGGGAGGAAGAAAGGAGCGATCAGCGATAAGGATTTTGAGTTGCTGCTTGCAAGTTTACCGTGCAAAAACTGCTGTCCAAACAGTTGGTTAGCTAAAAACAGTGCCTCGGCTTTGTCGAGTAAATGGGACATTTGACTAGGGCATTTCAATCTGTGGAAGAGAGGTCATTAAAAGCACATGAGACTTCAAGGAAAATGCTGTTTTTAAATTTTCTTTTTTTTTTTTTTAAGGTTTTATTTATTTATTTGAGAGAGAGAATGAGAGACAGAGCATGAGAGGGAAGAGGGTCAGAGGGAGAAGCAGACCCCCCGCTGAGCAGGGAGCCCGATGTGGGACTCGAGGATCATGACCTTAGCCGAAGGCAGTCGCTTAACCAACTGAGCCACCCAGGTGCCCGGAAAATGCTGTTTTTAAAGGGTAAAGATAAAGAGCCACGGATAATGTAATCAGTTCTGTAAATCTTAAGTAAAAATGTAAGTCTTTGGGGCATCTGGATGGCTCAGTTGGTTAAGCATTGGACTCTTGACCTTGGCTCAGGTCATGATCTCAGGTCATGAAATCGTGCCCGAGTTGGGCTCTGCGCTGGCTGTGCAGCCTGCTTGGGATTCTCTCCGTCTCCCTCTGCCCCTCCCCAGCAACTCACATGCGTGCATGCCCGGGTTCTCTGTCTCTAAAAAAATACTTAAAAAATTATTTAAAATGTATGTAAGTCTTTGATCCTTAATAAAGAAATGCCAACTTCTGGCATCAAACATCCTGAGGGTAAGGCTCACTTTTTAGATTTCTTGGTATTGTTAGTTGAGTAGGCACAATGGAAGCAGGCAAATAATAGGAGGAATGATATAAGAAAAGTCTCTGTTCCTTTTTGTCCTTATTTATTTATTTAATTATTTTTTAAAAGATTTTATTTATTTATTTGACAGAGAGAGAGATAGCGAGAGCAGGAACACAAGCAGGGGGAGTGGGAGAGGGAGAAGCAGGCTTCCCGCCGAGCAGGGAGCCCGACGTGGGACTCGATCCCAGGACCCTGGGACCATGACCTGAGCCGAAGGCAGACGCTTAACGACTGAGCTACCCAGGCGCCCCCTTTTTTTCCTTTTTAAAAAAAGATTTATTTTAGAGAGAGTGAGTGAGGGAGGGTGCGTGTGGGGGGAGGGGCAGAGGGAGAGGCAGAGAATCTCAAGCGGACTCCCCGATGAGCAGGGAGCCCAAGGCAGGGCTCGATGCCTCCACCCTGAGATCATGACCTGAGCTGAAATCAAGAGTTGGTTGCTTAACCGACGAGCCACCCAGGCACCCCGAAAAGTCTCTGTTCTTATTATTCTTATTCCAAAGAGTTATCTTGCCAAGAGGAAGGGAAGCACAGGTAATCCTGGTTGGAGGGAGGTTTCTGTTCATTTGAAAAAACTATGTAATTCATAAAATGCTGCAATTAAAATAATGTGTCCCCAAGTGAAGGCAGTCTCACTTTTTTATTATAAAAAAGGGAAAAATTTGTAAAAATATACCTAAAAATGACCCACAAAAAAAAAAAAAAAAGGAAAGGAATTTAGATCTTAGCTCTTAGCTGAAATATGGACACAGCCTTAGGGCTTCACATGAGTATGAGTTAAAGAGACAATGGAGATAAGGGAGAGGGAATGGGGAAAAGGGAGATGGATAGAATGACCTTTATTTTTTCCCTTATTTCTTGAGCTGCTGATTAGTGCAGTGGAAGGGTTGACAGGAATCCGATCTTTCTGTATAGTGATTTTGTATCCCCAGGTTGGAGACAGGAATCAATCTTATTGTCTATTATTAGTGTTTGCAATGTTCTAAGTGCTTTATATGTATTATCAAATTCTTATAATCCTATGAGGATGGTACTTTATTACTCTCATTTTTTCAAAAGATTTATTTATTTTAGAGACAGAGTGGGCAAGCGGGGAGAGGGGCAGAGGGAGAGGGATGGAGAGAGAGTGGGAGAGAGAGAAGCCGACTCCCC